ATGTATTTTGTTCATGATATCCAAATTCGACTAAATAATTTATTTTTAATGTATTTGTTGCTATATTGTTTTATAACATAAGGACTTGTATGCTGTTTTATTCATGATATCCAAATCAGACTAAATAAATGAGAAATTAGGTATTTGCGGTATTTCAGCTTAAGTATACCCACGATAATACATTAAAGCTTTTAAGTATTTCATCATTTAACTTTTTAAGTATACCAGTTACCTATGATGAAACATTCAAACATACAACCAAAGGATTTTCAAGCAGTAATTTTTCCTTTTTAATTGTGTTTGGATTTTAATTTAGATATTTAATTGATATTTCAATTGTGTTTGGATTTTATTTTAGATATTTAATTTTTTTGTTTTGACATTTATGGCCCGTGGGCTGGCCCGCATAACCTGTGGATTAGGTGGGTCGGGTTAGGGTCATAAAAATTCTGGCCCGATAGTAAGCGGGTTGGCCCGCCCCGACCCGTGAAACTCATAACCCGCCGCGGGTCGGGGCGGGTTGGCCCGTTTGACAGCTCTAGTTCCATCTAAATAAAAAACATGAAAAACGTACATAAAACTACTTATAAAACTATAATGTAGAATTTTTAAAAAGTAGAATATACAAAAAATTTAAAAATGCAAATAAGACATATATTTTACCATTCTAATTTTTTACTTTTATTTATAAATGTTTAATTTAGCAATTTCAGTTGACTCTTGAAAAATAAACAGTCATAACAGATCAAAAATATATATGAAGCCGAATTCATTGATTTCAAAACAATGATACCTATATGATAGGTTCTTGTTCCTAAATTTATTTTGGTAACTATATCACACAAAATTACATCTTAAATTAGCATACTTTGCAAATCAACAAATATAAAGGAAGAATCTCCCACCCTCTAAAACATCTATTCAATTCACAGACCATTTTATTAAAGTCAAAATCATGTGATACAATCAACATCGGTACATTTGATTTACGGCTTGAAGCTATTAGCACTCGGATACTCATTATTGTTCATTTTGTCGGGTTTGATAATTCATCTTGTTAAAATAGGTGTCAAACACCGAACACTTGCCCCTTTCAATATCTCCACGTCATCTTTATCCCAACTTAACCTAAATTGCCTCGGTTCTTCTCATCAGCCACATCTCTTCTAGTCTTCTCCCCTACCCTCGCCACTGATACCAACTCCACCGCTTTTCTTCACGAAATTCCAGCCGTTTTGAGTCATCCTCGGCTGTCATGACTTTACTTGTAAACCCACTTCCTAATATTTTACGCCAATTACTCGCTTAGAGTCCTCAACCGAATCTGGGGATGCGCCCCCCGAAGAACGCGTAGCTGTTACGGCAAGCACACCTGCACCTCGATGTAATCTTAAGGTTAGAAAACATAACCTGCTACAAAAATCCATGGCTACATAAATTAAGTATACAAAGTCACAAAAGCTTGATTTTTATACCCTCAATTTTTTTCCTGAAAATTGGATGTAATAGATCTGTAAATTTTCAATTGTCTTTAGTGATTTACTTCCTATTTTCGTTGGAAGTATATAGTTGTCGTGTTTTGGGGGTGCCATGTCTGGCTGATGTGAGAACCATGCTTAAGCATAAATGAAAACCATACATTGTTGGTAATTATGTACCTTTTTTTAATCATCTGAAGTAAAGAAAATCAGAGGCTTAATAAAATATACGGACTACAATTTCTATTGCAGTAGAAGAATGCCAATTGACTATAACTATTGAGTTGAGCGCATATCTTAAAACTATGTAGATGCCACAAATTAAAGTCACTTAACAACGGTAGAGTTATGACTTACAATAACTTGACTTACAATAACTGAAGAGTGTGTTATTTCTATTATAGTGGGCTTTGTATAACTACTTTTGTGTATCTTTGTTGCATGTCACATTGTGTTTAATAAAATGTAAACACCCATCTTCATACACGGAGTATATGTTTGTGTTCATGGCAGTCTAATAAAAAATTATCCAGAACTAACCTACTTGACATCTCTCTCTCACACACACACACATTATTGATATAACCGTGCAGAGTACGTAGAAAACAAATATTATCATTGAAAATGCTTTTTAAGATGTATGATTACATCTAATTATCAAATCTGGAAGTCCAAAATGGTAGAAACACTGATTTGATTAGTACTCAATAGTATGCCTTGTTTCTTGCAACATATGAGTGAGCTCTACCCGATAGGCATCTATTCACAGACGTACTTACTTCAGAGATTGTGCATCTATATGATTTCTTTGATAAAACTTGTATTGAAGACTTGTTTCAAGAAATTTGTTTTTATAAATTTTACAATAAGGGTTAGATGCATTTAATCATAAACAATACACATGTTTTAACAATAAACTCTATAGAGATAGAACTAATTTTTAATTTATTAACAATACCCACACTGACCATTGTTAATACATTAACAACATATGCATTCTTTTCTATAAATGTATACGTACATATATGTGTTTTTGTATGTTTCATAATACACACATAAACATATTTTGCCATAATATTCTTACTATCTGCAGGTATGAAATTTAAAAAGTTGGACATCAAAGAGAAAGGGAAGAAGCAGAATGATCCATCATTCTAATTGTATTGGTCTTTGAAAGACACTGCAAGTATTTATAGCAGCACTTTGGTCATATAAACACTCTTGGCCCAAGTGGTCATGACGCTGCTTTTATAGATGTACATGGGCATACAAAAATATCTTCGAATAAAATGCCAGGAATGAGATACATTAAATCTCACTATGCTCATGGGCACACAAAATATGGATGGAAAGTGAGATGCTTCATTGCATTTAAATAGCCGAATGAATGGTTGTTGCCATTCGGGTGTTTGGAAACAATCTATGAGCTAAACTATCCCACCTCCCAAACCGGCCAATAGGATTTAAGCATTTAAAGCATTGAGCTTTTGCCATAATGCATTTACGTACTACATCACTATTGGCCACCCTATTCAACCAATGAAATATTAGCATTTCAAGCCATTGCAATCCCCATTTAATCTAAACCATGCGTATGTATTTTTGCCTTTAACACTAAACAGTGGCACCGCTTGTTTAGCCAATAGCAATTCCGTACTGTTCACAGATATGTTCTTTGAACAGTGTTCAAATCTTCTCTCAACCAATCCCATTCATTGCAACCTGCTGCACCGATTTTTTGACCAATTGAAAATGAACACCATTCATTTTAACATGTGCACCAACTCATCACCATTGAGAGCCTGATTTTTTTATTTTCTCGAGTGAACAAATTCCTCTACACAACGCCCATTTTGTATTTTTTCTTAATTAAAAATTGGACTAAAACTTGATGTTGACATTTCCAAGCGGGAACCCTATTCATCTAACTTCTTTTGCTTTTATATTAGAATAGATTTTTTGGACCCTGAGGCAAGTGCCTCATCCGCCTCAAGCACCGCACGGCTCTGCGTAGTACTATACTAAAACTTCGGCCGTTGTGTGTTGTTTGAGGTAGCTATATAGCCGAGGTGGTCGGTGGCGGGACGACAATAAATAAAAGGATGTCAAACCGAAGATCGAGGCAGTCCGGGACTTTAAGGATCTCTGATGATCAGATCATCGATCTTGTTTCCATTGCAAAATTTATCAACGGAATGGACAAAGGGCAAACATATTGGGCACATATTCTTGTTTCCGTTGCATTTAACTTCAAAAGGCAAACATATTGGGCACTAGTATCTTAGAGTCAGAGTTGCTTGATAAAGAACGTTACAAATTGAGGTTGAAATCCATTCGTATGGTTTAGAAACATTTTAACGGGTTTTTAAGTTTTTTTGGTAATGATTATGTATAATTTGCTATAACATTTTTATAATCGGATTTCTAAATAAATTGTAATTGAATGTTACTCGAATAAATATAGTTCACAAACGAAGTAATACTTTCAACGTGCATTACATCATAAATACGTAGTATTATATCAAATCACTTTTGTCCCGTGTAACGCACGGGTACAATACTAATCAGAACAAAGGCTTATCACGAACCATACCGGACCGTTACTATAAAACCAGATCGGGATAACTCAAATCCATGATCGTGCCTACCCCTGCTCCTTATTAGCTAAGGGTGGGTTCGGTTTTGCGGTTCGGTTTTGACCTAAAACCAAATATAGAATCAAAGTAAAAAGTTCGGTTCATTTTCGGTTCGACTTTACACTCCAAATCTTGGAACCACGGTTTGATTGGTTCGGTTCGGTTTCGGTTTTTTCGGGTTTTTACCAAAAAAATCTCACTTGATTTAAAATTGATATAATACTTAGAGGGATCAAACATATTACATAAAGAATGCAAACACAATACAACAACAAATAAAATAGAAATGAGAAGAGATAAATATGTCTTGAATTATATGAACATGCGAAATAGATAAAACTGTATATATTATTGATTTAATTTGTTTGTGAGTAGTTCGAAAAAAGTTCATGAAAATATACGTTCTATGTGATACAGTTGAGATAAATATTTATAGTTTTATCACTATAAAATCTTTAAGTTATTTGAAAATTAAAGTTAATTACTACTAATAACTAGTAATCACATATTATCATCATTTAGTATAACTACATTATTACAGATAATAAATGTGTAAACGAATTTATAAACTAAATTAAATTAAACATAACACAAATATTATTTCTCTAACACAAGAAAATCAAAGACTATTGATGATATTAAGATTAATTAGAATTAATGCTTAACAATTAACATATAAATTTCATATTTTAAATAGTTCTGTTCCGTTTTGAAGAGTAAAAACTAAAACCGAACCAAACAACTTTGATTCGGTTCAGTTTTTTTACATTCAATTTCGGTTTCTTAACGGTTCAATTTTATTTGATTGCGGTTCGGTTTAATTTGATTGTGTTTTCGGGCACAGCCCTATTAAGGCTATTATTAACGATCTATTGCCTTCTGTAATCTGTTTTCCATCTTTCTTTTTCTTTCCTGCCTTCTGTAATCTTTTTTCCAACAAATGTTTTTTTTTTTCTGTAATCTTTTTTCCTATTTCCAGCTTTCCATTTCTTTAATCATAGCACCGACCTCTTTCCGCTAAGAAATCCGAAAGTTTCCTCTCCGGCCGACGACTGTACGTGTACACTTCGGCTCCATTCTCAAGCCTACAGTCAAGAGCCGCCAACCCTACCGATTTGAGTCCACTCTTAGGATCACCAACAACGGCCTTAACGAGGTAAGTCCTGGCGTGTCTTGATTAATTTTCAATTCCGCAATTTGTTCATTTATAAGAACATTGATGGTAGTCAAATCAACCTCAAGTGTAATTTCTTCCCAAATTTTGTTTTGTTTGAAAATGTATTAGCTTTAAAGCCTTCAAAGCCCTGAGAAAAAGTCATTTTAGTTATACTCTAAGCTTACATTATGTTCTGTTTTGATTCTTAATATTATCTCTCTGTGAAAAATTATCTCTAGACAAATCTCATTTTTTGCTGACTGCCGATACACATATTCATATTGGTGTCACAATCAGATTTTTCGATCACCATTTGATTGTGGATTGCAGCACAACGTAATTGATCATCACAGGTTTCAGTTTTCTTTTATCTGTACAGGATTAAGCTTTTTATTGAATGTTATTTTTACAGTTATGATATCCGTAGTATTAAATATGCCTAGTGAAAAATATATATGCGTAGTGTTACGTGTGAATCTATTTTTCTATCAGATAAGTTTGCAGTTGTTAATTAGATCAATTTGTTATTAACTTTTCATTTTACAGAGTATGACTTATCATACTCTGTAAAAAAAATATGACTTTTCATGTGTGGTTTGCATAAATAACAATTGGAGTACTTTTTTTTTGAAAGAAACAATTGGAGTACTTTGTGTGTATATACATGTGCATATATATAAACCTCGAGGCAAGTGATTAGATATTATATACTGTATGTTAATATGAATGTGACTACTTTCACATGCAATTTTATCTATGGAATGAAACCCATAATTGAAGTAGAATACCTTCGTGACTTTTATACATATAAGGAAATCACTAATCGGAATAGAATAATAGGAGTACAGAATAAGGAGACCTTTAAGTTCATCAAGGAGTTGGTGCAGGTGTGTCTATTTGGAAATAATTTACTTGGCATTTCGTATTCAATAATGAAAATATCTAAGAGTGCGTTTGTTTAAATGTCGTATAGAATCACATGAATCACAATTCTGATATTATTACTATTTTGTGTTCTGCAGCAGGGGTAGATAGGTATAAAAATATTGGATTATACTCACTTATGAATTGGATTCAACCAGCTCTCAAGGTAAGAATTGTGGGCGGGAGCGCTACTCTTGACATACTACCTTCTATATAAATAAATACATATGCTATTGTGAGCAATATACCTTTCAAAACTACATTTATGTGCTGGGGAGTTTTCATAGAAAAATTGGCATGTTGATGGCTTCAAAATGCTGGTGCCATAAATCTCCTCCATTGGAAAGTATAGAGCCTATTTCTGTCAATGTGAGCTGGCTAGTAAAAATTTGGAAGCAGTCCACTAAATTCTTTAACAAGAAAAAAGAATCTGTTTATGGTAAGTACTATGCATATAAAGATGTTGTTTATGGTACCTTTTTAGTTACTTAATGCAAGGGAGAAGTTAATAGAGCTACAGAGTTGTAAATTGTTTGGTCTTTTGGTGCTGCAACAGATTAGACCCCTTCATCCTTGGTTGTTAAAAATATATCATTAATGTGGATTTTTGAATATTATAAGTTTCTGTTTTCATAAGGGAGTATGAAAGCTCGTGTTAAGATGAAATTTATAAGCGAGTATAAATTACATCTTAACACAATATTTCATACTCCCTTGGTTGTTTAGAATACATCATTAAAATACAGAGTTTTAATTTGTGTAAACCCTTTACCATTGGGGAGTATGAAAGCTTGTGTTAAGATGAAATTATAAGTTTCTGACCATTTCATTTTGACTTTTGAATGGCTTTTTGAGTATTGAATGGCTTGTGTAGATAGAATGTGGATTGATTTTTGCTTGCAGTTTACTTCTCTGAAAAATGTGAATGTATTGAAAATGGTTTAACTGCTGGAGCCATGGGGGCTTAACATGTTTTGCTAACAGCTGTTCAGTCTAATGGTAAATTCATCTTTTTACATCTATCACAGTTTTAGCATGGTAGTTCGTTAAAATTTGTCGGCATAAATATGGTTTTATGAATGGGGTTCAATTTTAATAGATTCTTTTCATTCGTTGTTTTATTATGTATCATTATTATCTATCATTTATTTTTTTATCATTTGTATCATTATTATACATTCCAAATAGATTCTTTTAAATTTGTCAGCATCCCCAGTATCTAACAATGGTATAGCCGTGGTTTCGGACGGGAGAGGAGGCAAAAAAACACCTGAATCAACTGTTGCCGGAGACTGCAGACAAAACACGAATCTTGATGAAAGCCTTCGTCGCTTCTTCCACCCTCGTCCCGCCGCCGTTGGAAGCCATCATTAATCACCCATCCACCACCAATTTCCCCTTTCACGAATTCAAGATCTGCCAACGGTTCATCCTCAAATCTCGACCTGCTGGCACCATCAGCCCCAGGAGAAACCTGTGTGTAGTCCATGCCGGGGAGAACAATGGCGACAGAGATGTGGCAAGCACGGAAGAGAAGGGAAAGGAAAAGGGCCAGAAGAATAATATGCAGGCCACATTGAATTTGAAGTGGGTTGAGCTATTGCTAGATCCGGACCCAGAAAACATTGTGGCGGTTGGGTTAACGGGTCTGCTGGCGTGGGCGGGCGTGCAGATCTTGTGGCAGCTGTTCGTGATCTCTTTGGCGATTCTAGTTGCTGCTCTCAAGTATTCCTTCATAGCCGCACTTCTCATCGTCATCCTCATCACTCTTCTTTGATCACAGCAGAAACTCAAACTCTTCAATTTGTAATTTCTGATGATGGAAATCCAGGCTTTTCTGCTCATGTGATGTAGTGATGTAGTCGTTATTGGAACCCCACGAAGTATTTACAAGTGATTGTGATATTTATCTCAATCCAATTTGAATATTTTATCTGAATCTAGAGAAAGTCGACACAATATGTAAGAATGAATAAAATAATTAATTTTTTCTAGTATTCTTACCCGTGCGTTGCACGAGATGCACAAAAACTCTTACTACGTATTAAACAATATTTCAGATTTTAAGCATTAAATAAATATCTTCATACCAATAAAAGCTTGATTTTTTCATATTGAAGAAGCTCACCACTTCATAATAATTTTAAAATATACTCGTATTTCATTATGATGAAAATTAGCTTTAAAGCGACTGCCAAGGGTGCATGTTACTTTTAATCCACCACTTCATACTTCTTTTAATCCATCAATAGAATGTAACACACGGCCAATTTGCATTTACAACAACCGAGACTGGTTACTACTTCACATGTTTCTGGATGGATAGAAACTCTTCAGGAGACAGAATTTTTTGCAAAGGATTGGGAATCAGTTGCAAGAAAAGAAAAATTAGAGGTAATGTTCCTCTTATGAGTTGGCTTGAGGTGGGAGGGGTCCCGGGTCCATATATATAATATGTGCATGTGTATATATAAATATATCATGTTATATCCTGATTTCTGGCTCATATGTGATCATTTTTTCCATCCAGGGAGTCGATCTTGAGTTGATGAAACTTGAAGGAATAACTCAAGCCATCCATGAAAATTTGAAGAATAGGAAAAAGAAGGGTAACTGTTTAAGTGCCAGTACGTGTAGAATGATTGTTCATTACATAAAAAACACTGCTCCATTTCTTTCTAATGGTATATGGCTAGCCTTGTGCTTGTCATATATTTGTCTCCACCTATACCCTTTGCAGTTTATTAGCCTTTTGAATGCAAACAACAATAACTGTGATGGCCAAAAACAATATAGAGGATAAAACCAAGGACTTGGGTAGCTTATAGGCGCCCAAATTACCCCCCCCCCCCCCCCCCGTGCTCCCATTCTTTGCAGTGTTATGAATGGTTCACTAACCTCTTAAATGGGTTTTCATGTATACACTAAAATGCCTGTATCAAGATTTTATGATAGAATTTAGGACTAGATTGTGATGATTCAACTAGGCCATCAAGCCCTTAGTTCATTATAAGGCGTGATAAACTTATTTTTTTCTCTCATTAGTATTTGGGATTTTAACACTATCTCTATATGGACCTTCGGTTTGAAAGTATATGAGGAAGCGACTTATCAAAAGAAAGAAGAAAAAATAATGTGTTGGTTGGGGAAGGGGTTGAACTAACTATTACTGATGAGTGGTGTTCTATAATGTGTGCAGGGAAGCTGAGGCAAGGGAGGTGAGTGAGAAAACCAATGCTAGAGTGGCTTTGTTGAGTATAATGTCCCTTGGTATCTGTGTATTTGTTTCATCCCTGCAACTATGGTATTTGAGGAACTATTTTCAAAAGAAAAAGCTCATCTTATATCCATGCTTCTAAGCTCTAACCTTTTCCTCATAAAATATCTCAAATACTGGTTGTCACCTTAAATTTGTATCATAGATAAATGTATATCACATTCACTTTATAGCCTCTTTGATGGGCTGTAATTGTAATTTCCTTGTGAAACTTCACATATAGAGGTTTATGCTTTAGAAAACCAACTTTGTTTTAGGAGTCCTAATTAGAAGAGGCTTTCATGATATATTGATATCCATCTCCATTTATGTAGACTACTGATTTTAATGCTTGTAAAAGTAACGTGGCTAATGGGATTTGCTTAATTTTGAAAGTGTGGTCAAAGTAATATGGCTGATGGAATTTGCTTCATTTTGAAAGCGTGGTATCCAAACAAGTGAGTACATGAGATGCGCACAGAAAGAAGAAGAAAACAATAACTCCAAATTTGATCTTTGCACCCCGTTCATCGCATGAGATGGATGTGGTCCAAACAGTGCCTATGCGGTCTGCAAAAATCTCAGGATACGTGTGAAATAGTATGTGACTATGTGGTATAACAGAATTGCAGACATGGTTTGGAGAACCTAGTTATTTTTTACGCTGTAGGTCACTTGTATGAATATACAACCTTATTTTCACTCTTGCAGAGTGCAAATTTAAATATTATTATATATATTTCAAAATATTATCTGACGATTTTGGAAAAAGAGTATACCCAAAAACACTACATAAATTTTCTCAAACTAGGCTGCAAATTAGGAATAGAGGGACTATATTCCAGTTTCTAGGTATCAACTATTTTTCACTAACATGCAAAACAAATCATCACATTACGATCTCTCTAAATGAGATCATGGCCCTTGTGGACTTTAGGCGAGGGACATTCCCGGTTAAATACCTAGGAATTCCGCTTGCCCCTTTAAAAGTCTCGGTGGCGCAATACTCGCCCTTGATTGATACTATATCCGATTTTTTGAAGTCTTGGAACACAAAGACCTTGTCCTATGCCGGTAAACTAGAGCTGATTAGATCGGTGATCCAAGGGGTCCAATCTTTTTGGCTCCAAGTGTTTCTGGTGCCCCAAACTATCTTAGATATGATAGTCTCTATTTGTAGAGTCTTCTTATGGGGTGGAAAACTCACTAAAGTGGCTTGGGATGACATTTGTCTACCAAAAGAGGAGGGGGCCTTGGCATTCATAATGCTAAGGTTTGGAACCACGCTCTCCTCTCTTGAACGCTTTGGGATGTCCATAGGAAGAAGGATAATCTTTGGGTGAGGTGGGTCAATGGGGTCTACCTTCGAGGTAGGAGTGTGTGGGATTTTATCCCACATAATCGTGACTCAATGTTCATGAAGAAATTGAGTCACATCCGGGACCAAATTTTGGGATGTTTTAATAATTTGAATGATACCGTTATGGGCCTAAACTCTAGATCCGAAAATGGTAAACTCCTTTCAGGAAAAATTTATGATTTGTTGAGAACAAAAGGAACGCCGAGAGCGTGGATGAGTTTCATTTGGAAATCATATATCCCTCCTAAATTCTCTTTCAACGTTTGGCTAGCTTTGAGGAACTGGTTACCTACACAGGATAACCTCAGTTACCTACATATCGTTAATCGTTGTGACCTATGCAAGGGTGGCTTGAAATCAATGTCACACCTTTTCTTTCGTTGTTCTTACACTTATAGGGTCTGGGAGATAATTAAGGAATGGATGGGCATGAGGCAAGAGATGACCAAGCTAAACAGCTCGTCAAATGGATTTCAGAAGACCACAAGGGTTCAAAAATCAAGGGGAAAGCTGTTCGGATAGCCTTCTGTGCCGCGGTTTATTACCTATGGCACGCTAGGAACTCAAACCGATTTGATGAGGCGGATGTCAAGGAAGAGGAGGTCATTGCAAAAATTAAGCATGTGGTATATAAGATACTATTTAATATATACCCACATGACTTGATCACATTTTAGTCTGAAGGCCATGACATGGACATTATGGATGCCACGGTTTTTTGTCTGGATTGTTTTTGGTCTAGTTGCGTGCTAAGGCAGCACTGATGTATATTTTGATTTTGATTGATCAAGTATTTATACTTGATCCTTTTGGCGTAGATTAGATCGAGAAAAAACCTCCTTTCACCCTCACACTATGTGGGGGTGGGTTTTTTTTTAGGAGATTTAGGATACTTGATGTATAATTTTTTCTAGGTGTTAATATATATTTACATTTCATCCAAAAAAAAATCTAAAAAGTGGATCTCATAATAAAAATAAAGTTTTTGCCACTTTTAGTCCTCTGACTATTATGTCATTGACATTTTTGGTATCCGACTTTGAGTTTTTTCACTTTTAGTTCTTCGACTATTGTGATATACTTTTGATACTCATCTTTGAAAATTTCCACATTTAGTACTCCGGCTTTCATACAAGTGACACTTTTAGTCCTTCAACTATTATAATAGTGACATTTTGTTCTCCACTTATTGTGTCAAATTCATAGTGGAAAACATTGAGATTTAGGACTATAAGTGTCTCTCACACAATAATTGAAGATTAAAAGTGAAAATTCTGAAAGTCGAGTACCAAAAGCGTCACTAACCCAATAGTCAAGGGACTGAAAATAAATAAACTCATAAAAATATAAGAGGTGAAATTGTGAAAATTAGAAAAGTTTGACCCAGGAAAGTGAGACTTGTAAAATGGGAGATGGACTATAAAAGGGAATAATCCCAACTTGCTTTTTGTGGGACTTGAATTAGTGTAATAGTCACTCAGATATGAAGTTGTACAATGACTACTCGGTGATATATAATGAAATAATGACATCAATATTACTTATAGTGTGACTATAGTTCCCATTTCGTAAGTGTATATTTAGAGGAAAAAGGACTAAACTTTCTTGAAGAAAAGATTTTGGACACAAATCTACATATTTTGCAGCTGGCTACCAACAGGCTCATAAACTAACGGGGCTTCCAATTCAACACAGTACCACATATGAACACAAATCTTGCATCTCCCCGAGTCTTCAACTTTTGTGTTGAAATTGAATTACATAGACAGACCCCATTCTATACCAAGTAGAAGAAAAAACTTATTCTCCCAATGCAGCCAATATCTTCTTTCGAACAAGCTCAACACCCAGTCGAGGAGACAACCTAGGAAGAACTTCCTGCAATATAATGCAAAACATTTTTTACATAGAAATCATAAACAATTTAAAATAATGATTTGGTGATACTTTATGTCAAAAGACTGAAGAACATGAGAAAAGAATCATGTACAACATGTTTCAGAAGCATTCAACGGGAAAGTCAAATACTCCGTAATATATTTATTTACATAGAACTCATAATTTATGAGTTTATGAGTCATAAACTATTCTGTACAGCACACTGCAGTAGTCACTAGTCAGTCTATATTGGTATATATTTCATGTGACATATAGCTTATATTGCGTTATTGTGCATGCAATGTTTTCTGATGTATAACCATGCAAAATCACTAGTCAGTAGTACTAATGTACTACTCCGTATTATAGCAACATAAATGTGTTGGTAGTACGGAGTATTTAACAGGGCTCAACAATGGAGCACATGTTTTTCAGAGTTATATCAAGCCCACCCCTGCACTTGAATGGAAAAATAGTACATGAGGTCCTAAGAATAGTAGATGGGGTCCCTTACAGCATCTTCAAATTCCTCCAAACCATGTAATTACATAGTGACGCACATTCTCTCCCTGATATACTACGTATGTATTATGGGTTCAACAAACATGTATACTCCGTATAATCTAAAATAGGAGTGTAAGAATCCTATTTTCGAAAGAAAAGAGTCCCATTTTGGAAGAAAATAATACTTTTATTTAACAAAATTTGTTATGTTTAACTCATATTTAGGGATTTTTCTTAGAATTACACAATACTGGACACTGTGCCCAACATAATACCAAGTCTAATGAAATCATAATCTATTTATTCATACCAAGTCTAATTACACAATACTCCACATTGTGCCCAACATAATATAAGGTGTTTAACCAAGCTCTATTCGTCGATCCAGTTTGGCCCGTTTTTTACGATCAAGCTCTATTAGAGACTATATAATCTAATTACACAATACTGCACATTTGGCCCATTTTTGACGATCAAGTTTTCTGTGCAGTCCGTACGGATTCCGTACAGTTGGGTCGTACAGTTTACTAATTTTTTTTGGAAGACGCGCGTCCTACTTTAATTAGTGGTTATGTTTTAGTCTCTATAAAAACAACCTCTCTCCCTTGTAATCATCTCTTAGATCCGAAAATAGTAATAATATTTCTGTCTTGATGGCGCCCCAGACGTAGTCATTCGTGCCGAATTGGGTTACTAAACTTTAATTGTTCTTCGTGTTGCGTAATTAATTCCTAACACATAATGGAGAAAAGTTTATCAAAAAATAGATAAAACTGAGTTATTTATTCAATTTATGCGTATTATCTCTGCGCGTGAACCAGTTGTATAGTAAATGATCTTAAATACATAGATAGATTTAGAGATGTGCAAGTAAAACACATCTAAATTGAAGAAGAAAATTTGGGCAAAGTGAAACCCCATCCAAATTCAAAAAGTCAATACAGTATTTTTTAGGTGAAAAAGAATCTCAGGGCAAGCATGGATGCATACGAAAACTGGAGATTCATAATGGGGGGAGTTTACCTCGGTGCCATCGGGTCGGAGTTTGGCCAATACAGGAATCTCAAATTGGTAAGCCTTTTCCCAATCGGAATTGGTTGTAATATCTCTAACCTCTAAATCGAAAACGCATTCGGCGTCGGTGAAAGCGGCGTGAAGCTTTTCCTTCAGACCATCGCACAAACAGCAATCTGGCTTTGAGTAAAGTATCAGCTTTCTCGAAGAAGAAGGTAAAGGAGATGAGTAGGACGATGAAACTGAATGAGACCATTTACGGCGGCGATTGAAGGAGAGGAAGGTGTTTCCAGAAGCAGTTACGGTTGCTACTTGCCTTAATACTACAGCACTCAGCGCCGCAGCTACTGCAACCACCATATCCTTCAATCTGAACCCCAAATCACCGGAAAGAGTAGACTGCAAAGTGGACTACGATAAACTTTTCCGCTTATGCCAATTTTTTCGCGGAATAAACTTTTCACTTTTGGAGCTGAATTGTATAATAATACGTAGTACTACATACTACTTAACAAAAAGTACTTTTAAGTTTTTATTGACTGAAATTATTATAGAGAATTATTCACCTATTTTTTCATATAATTTTTTCTTTATTTTATTAATAAAAAATATTTTAAATGTAATTTTTTCATAAATTAACACAATCAGATAATCCAATCATTTTAGTCAGAAACCCAAAACTTCATAAATATAAACAAAATCAGTTGATTCAACCAGTTTTAGTGTTATCAAATGGGTTGTCGTTTTTAAATTCTTGTTTAAAATTGTTTGTGCCATAGACATTTTATGGGAAAAAATCTCGTTTAAAATGTCTGTGGCACAGACAGTTTTTTTTGTCTGTGTAAAAATTAGTTTTCTTCATAAAAAGTCGGTCAAATTGTCTGCAGACAATTTGACCGACGTGTATAATGGCGACGTGTATAATGGCGTGTAAAATGCCGTGTACACGAAGCGTGACTGAAAAAAATTGTACTTTTTCTATACATTTTCAAAATGTTTCAGACTAACATTTTTTGCCTATATACCTTTGGAAAATTCTACATAAAAATTGTACACAAATTGTACACTGCTTATGTACACAGACATTTGGCATATAATCCCACCATTTTTCAAATGAATTGTTTGTGTACACAAGCAATTATGAGAGTTGTGTACAATTTTTGTACTAATTTTGTGTACAACTAGATTTTTCACATACCTTTATGTAGCGGGAAAAAAGCGTTTGTCGAAAAAATCAATTTTATGGACAGTAAATGTCTGCACACACAGAAAAAATGACAGTGTCAAAAATAGTACTTCATCTTTCTCTCTAAGATTGTCTTATCTTTTCATTCTATTTTGTCAAACTGAAATTGTCACATATCAATTTGGTAAAATTTAAGGAATGATGCTAGTATAATTTTTGTACACTTTTAAATCATATTGTGTGGCAGTAACGGTGCCAACTAATTTTTTGGTACTAACATAAATGCCGTACATTATGTTTTTATAAATATACTAATAGAGTACACAATATGGAGTAATTATTAGCAGTGTCAATGTCGTACATGTTATTTAAAAATGCGTAGAAAAATTAGGCTGTTTTTGGCACTCTAGCCTGATAATAATGTTCTGAGTGTGAACATTTTTTGTCTATAAAGTTGAATTTTTTGGATTGACATTTTTCCCGTGGCCTAACATTATACGAAGTACTATATATAAGCAAAAATGGTTAGCCCCACAAATTTCAAAAAAGTGTACAAAAAGTATAAATTTTTAACTTGTTTGAAAAGTCTTTGTATGTGTGCCAGACTTTTACAATATGAACGTTTTGATTCTTTAGACCGACATATTTTGCTTGTGGTCAACTTTTACCGAAAAAATGCTTGTGAAAAGAGAATTATGACAACATGTAAAAAATGATACGGAGTAATTTTTTTGCCAGTTAGGAAACATTTTTATGTGTCGGGCATTTATTGGCTACTATCAAATTGGATTTTTTATTGACATTTTTATCCAGGTATAACCTTAGGATAAAGGCTAAAGGTCAAATAGGCCCTTAAACTAACTTAAAGTGTTCAATTAGGCCCTTATATAGGAGGTTCTGTCCGTACGTCGCCAATTGGGGCGGTTCCCGGTGGAATTTTGTGATGAATTTTTTTGAGCTTCTTCTTCATTAAGTCTAGTTTACTCATACCAAATTTCAGCTAAAAATTCACCTGAGAAGGCAGTTAAATGAGTTTCCGAAATGTACTATGCTGTTTAACTGCGCAGTTATCTTCAAAAAATCATTTGACCACCTTCCCGGTTGAATTGTTAGCTGAAATTTGGTATGGGTAAACTAGACTTAATGAAGAAGATGCTCAACAAATTTCATCAAAAAATTCCACCGGAAACCGCCCTAATTGGCGACGGCCGGGCAGAACCTCCTATATAAGGGGCTAATTGAACAATTTAAGCTAGTTCAAGGGTCTATTTGATCCTTTAGCCTAGGATAAAAACTATGAGTACAAGAAGTTTTTAAAACATTACATGTAGTATAATCACTGTTCTAAAAATCGGCCTAGGCGGACCGATTAATCGGCCTAGTCGGCCGCCTAGGCGCTAGGCGCCCCGCAACCGCCTGACTAGCGCCTAGCGAGTTTTAGAACAATGAGTATAATATTGTATAAGCAAAAATGGTTAGCGCGACAAATTTCTAATCGTGTCAAATGTTGACAATGGTAACTTATATTTAATGGCGATGATCAAACTTACAACAGTCCAGGTAATTGATAGGTGACATTCAATGTGGATATTGGTACGTACTGTCTGAGGGGTTGCAAATACAATTTCCCTTTTTCGTATTTTAATATTTGAACTAACACACGGAAGCTCATTGTTATATACACGGGTGAGGCTTATAAGAACAAAAACACAAGAGTGACATTTCAATTTGAGCATTAATTGAGACATCAAAAATGCGATTTTCTCTCTCTCAATATAAGTATCATCACTAACACTTTGATACATTGTTGTTATATAATGTCATAACATATGAGTATGATTTGTGGGGTACAACACTTCTATTCGAAGATTATAACCTTATTTCAAACAGGAAATAATTAATTTATTAATGATAAAATAGTAAGAACAAAAGCAATCAGGTAGCTTAAAATCTTTCTTTATATAATATAAAGAAGCAAAGTCTGAGCAATAATTGGAGGAAAAAATCCCGCCCAAATTAGAGCCACAATAGGACATTAATTGGTAATTAATTTGCATCAAATAAGAGACATTCTCGCGGTACAACACATGTAGTACTGTATATTACTACCAACCGAAATATGTTATTGCCAAATTGATTTCCACTATGAATGAAATCTTTCTACTTATTTTCAAATTCTGGAGTAATAAATGTGTAATATTCCATAAATAAAATTGACACCATAAATATGTGTATTAATTTATTATATATGGATTCTTGCAAGTTATTTCCTGAAACGTAATTCAGTTGGAGTACGTGTGGCTAATACTTATTTATATATGAAGTGTAATATTATTACTTTATTTATTTCTTGACTTCGTAGGAAATACTTCATATAATTTACTTTATCCACTTTAAAAAAGTTAAATACTTAAAGTTATTTGACTGCTACCACAAATGCAGTTAGTATACTGTGGTAGGTACCGGCGCACAATGAGTATCATGCTCCCAAGAGTAAACGCGAATGAACAGTAGCCGCAGATGAACAATAACTTTTTTTTTTGTGTGTTTCAGTAGCAGGGTGATGTAACACCCGTTTACATAAATGTAACTCACGTTGATAGGAAATGTAACTTGAGATATGTAAGTTATCAAAAAGGAATGTAAGGGGAAAAACATTGATTTCAATATAACCAATGAAAAATTGATTCTAATTGCCCAATTACTTTTTAAACATAGTGAATATGTTTTGAATCTTTAATATTAGGAAAAATTGACAAGAATAATCCCACCTTTCACTGGTCTTCTCATAATAATCACACCTTTAAATAATCCCAAAATAATCCCACCTTTGCACCTCATCTTCTTTCATTGGACCCTGACCATGTTTTTTACTCTTTCTTTGAAAATTATACAAATAATCTCACCTTTCACTTTTTAATTATATCCTTATAAATATGAGATTATTTATATAAGATTTTTAAAAAAGGTAAAAAACTTGGTCAGTGTCCAATGAAAGAAGATGAGGTGCAAATTAAAGTGGAATTATTTTGGGATTATTTAAAGGTGGGATTATTATGAGAAGACCAGTGAAATGTGAGATTATTCTTGTCAATTTTTCCTTAATATTAAGGCTATAAAAATTGATTTAGTTAATTTTTTTTATCATTAGCATGGTTTATTTAGTGGTGTAACTCGTTTACATTAAAATATAGCTCGCGTACATTAAAATGTAAGTCTAGAAAAGTTGAAATGTAAGTCTAGAAATATGTACATTATATATACATACATACATATAAGAAAAGAAAAAAAACATTTATGTATATTATCAACATTGATTTCAATGTAAACAATTAAAAATTGATCTTAATTGCCTAATTACTTTTTGTAAAATAGTGAATATGGTTTTTAATATCAGGGTTATAAAAAATGATATAGTTAAAAATCATTTTTTGATCATTAGCAGGGTTTATTTCATGGTGTAACTCGCGTACATTAAGATGTAACTCACGCATAAACAGATGTAACTCGCGCTTAAGAAGGTGTAACTTCATATACTATCAAATATAATTCCAAAAATTGTCTATAAACACAACTCACACATGTTGAAATATAAATCATACAAGTGTATAAAATATAAAATTATGGCCAAAGGGTCAAATAGGCCCTTGAACTTACTTAAAGTGTTCAATTAGTCCCTTATATAGCAGGTTCTGCTCGGCCGTCACTAATTGGGATGGTTCCCGGTGGGATTTTTTTATGAAAGTTTTTGAGCATCTTCTTCATTAAGTCTAGTTTACCCATACCAAATTTCAGCTAACAATTCAACCATAAAGGCAGTCAAATGATTTTCCGAAATGTACTTTGTTGTTTAACTTCGCAGTTATCTTCAAAAATCATTTGACTGCCTTCCCGGTTGAATTTTTAGCTGAAATTTGGTATGCGTAAACTAGACTTAATGAAAAAGATGCTCAAAAAATTTCATCAAACAATTCCACCGGGAACCACCCCAATTGGCGACGGCCGGGCGGAACCTCCTATATAAGGGGCTAATTGAACACTTTAACTCAGTTCAAGAGCCTATTTGACCCTTTAGCCTAAAATTATTTATTTTGAGGAAAAAATAAGTTAATTTTTTATTGTAATTTAAGTTGAAGCAAAAAAAAGTGTATGAATAAGGACTGACAGAAAAAAACATAATAAATTTCTGTTGAAAGGTGAAAATTTAATCTCAAAATTGTAATACATACATCATTGTTTCTAAAATAAAAAAAAATGTTTGGAAACATGA